GATGGAGGTGGGTGGTCCTTGGACTTCCCACAGGGCAGGGAACCCTGATTGCTCTTTGGGCTGACGAGGGAGGGGGACTTGATTGGGGAAGGGGAAGGGAAAGGGGAGGTGGCCGGGGGGAAGAGACAGAAATCTTTAATAAATAAATAAATAAATAAATAGGAAAAAAAAGTCAGATATCCAGATATCTGAACTGGTGAGGTAATTCTGCTGAGAGAGCATAATGGTACCCCGCAGACCAGCACCAGAGGTGCTGGGCAGGCTCATGGGTGAATTCTTCCCACCTCTAGTCTAGGGATCTGGGGCGGAGCTGTGTTGGTCCTCCAGAGCCTGCCAGATCTAACCATTTTGTCATTTTTTAAATTAAAATTAAAATATAATCCCATCACTTCTCCCTGTCATTTTCGTGCCTCTGCCCCCTCCCTTGTCCCTTCCTTCAAATCCCTTCCATTTTCTCTAACTGGTTATCCATTTCAGTCATTTAAAAAACAATTTATTTTAATTAGTGTCTGAGAGTGTGTCTATGTGTGCACATGGACATGAGCGTGAGCGCCGTGAGGGCTAGAAGAGGACATCAGAGCCATGGGAGCTAGAGACACAGGTGGTTGTGAGCCACCCCATGTGGGTGCCGGGAACCGAACTCTGGTCCTCTTCAAGAGCAGCAAGAGCCCTTAACACCCAAACCATTTCCCCGGCTCCTATTTCAGGAGCCACCACACCCAGCTTATTTTAGTAATCTTTAAGTGTGGAATTCAGTGACATTAAGAACATTTATCATTCTGTATAAGGATTACTTTTATCTGAACTTTTTCACTCTCCCAAAGAGACACCCTTGTAGCTGCTAAACAATGATTCCCTGTTCTTCCTCATCGACCCAGGCTCTGGTAACCTCCTGTTGCTGCCTGTTTCTACAGATTTGCTGGAGAGATCTCACACTGAGTGGAGTCAGACGGTGTTTGTCCTATTGCTTCTAGCTGATTTTGCTTAATGTGTGTCAGCATTTTATTCCTATTATAGATTAAATAATATTCCATTATATGTATGCATTACATTTATTTGAACCATTGGGTTGTTTCCACTTTTTGACTACTGTGAATATTGTCACGTTAACACTGGTATGCTAGTATCTTTTCGAATCCTTATGTTTCCTTTGGACACGTACCTTGGAGCAAAACTGCTGAGCCACTGTGATAATTCTCTTTTCTTAAAAAGATTTTTTTTTGCAAAGAGAATCTCTTTCTTAAGATTTATTTTTATTTTGTGGGCATGGGTGTTTTGCCTGCATGTGTGTGTATGTATATGTGCGTGTATGTGAAGATGTATGTGTGCTGTGTGCATGACTGATGCCCTCAGAGGCCAGAAGGGGAGTCAGATCCTTTGGAACTAGAGTTACAGATTTGCCTTGAGAGTGCCGTGAACTGAAACTGTGCTCTTAACTGCTGGGCCTCTCTTTAGTGACTATCTTTAAGTTTTAAAGAGTTGCTAAGCCGTTTTCCACAGCAGCTGTACCGTTTTGTAGTCACATCAGCAATGCCCTAGCGTTGCATTTTGTCCTAATCTTCGCTAATACTTGTTCTGTAACGGTCGTTCTGCAGTGTGTGAAGTAGCATCTCACCATGGTTTAGATTTGCATTTCTCTACCAGCTGATAATATTGCACATCTTTTCGTGTACACAAATGTATCTTCAGAGAGAGATGTTTATGCAAGACCATTGCCTATATTTGAACTGGGCTTTTGTGTTGCTGTTTTCGTTACTGAACATTTAACTGCTGAGCGTTGCTGAGAACTTTGGAGTAGCTATCTCCATAGTTCTGCCTTTTCCAGGGTGCTGTGTGTTGAAGTCATATAGCATGTTCCCTTTGTAGAATGGCCCTTCACTTAATAATATGTGTTTAAGATTCCTCCATGTCTCTTTAAAGCTTGCTATCCATCCACGCTGGGTGTCAGACTAAGGACCACATGCATGCAAATAAATACAGCACTGCTGAACTACTACCCAGCCCTCGTTTCTTTTTTCCCCTCCTTTTACTTTTCTCCTTCTTTGTTTCTTGACACAGTGTCTCACTATGTAGCTCAGGCTGGCATTGAATTCATTATCTTTCTGCCTCAGACTTTCAAGTACTGGGATTACAAGCCTGTACCACTTTGCCCAGCTTAACAGTATCCTTAGAAAAAAAAGATTTTTTAAGGTTATAATATTTTAAATTACTTCTTTGAAAATTTTATATTTTTATACAATCTATTTTGATCATATTAATAAGCCACAGGAGAAAATTTTATGCCTGATACTGTCATCCTAGTCAAAAGCCCACCTCTAGGGAGGTCATAGGCCCTAGGGTAGAACCAGCTATTGATGTTTTGCTAAATGCTCATGCTGTCAAATTTTCTTCTGAACATTTATGCTCATATCCATAGATGTGGCTGTTCTTAACCTAGGCCAGAGACGCTTCATTTTTGCAGTGGAAATAAGTCAAAGCTAAGTAAGATGTTTAACTGGTGAAAGTGTTAGGAACAAGACTGAGCGCTCCGACGTAAATGAAGTGTCTGTTTGAATCCCCATGGCCACCACCATCAAGGTTCAGGAGAGGGAGAGTATAATGGGGAGGAGAGCTGTGGAATGGCATCTTCTGAGCATGGCATGCCTATCACACTCCTGAACACACAGCAGCCATTGCTGCTGCACAAGACCTGTGCAAGATCATGCCAGCCGAAACCCTGGCATAGATGGGGGTAGGGGTCTCCAGGCCCCTCCTTTTGCTGAGCTGTTAGCATTGACAGCTGCTGAGGAGAGAGAATCATTCTGAGGATGTGGTGACCGGTTGGATTCCCATGCTCCACTGGATGCCCCCCTCTATACTAGCTGGATGTAGTGGGTTATTTAAAACAAACAAACAAATATGAAATTAGGAGGGGAGCTTGTCGAAGGAGGTAAAAAAAGATAGATAAGATCATATTTGAGTGTATATATAAAATTCTCAAAAATAAAAATAGTTTTCAAGCTAGGCATGGTGGCACACACTTGTGATTACCAACACTGGAGAGGCAGAGGCAGTAGAGGCCTGGGACTCAGTGGTCCATCATCAGCCTGCCTCAATTGGCAGACTCCAAGCTGACACCAAGGTGCTGGCTCAAGAAAAAATGACATCTGAGGCTGATCTCTGGCCTCCACATGTATTTGCACACACCCAAGTCAGCTATGTATCACACAGGCCAAGAACCAGGGCTATCAGTGGGCCACCCCAACATTCACCTCATTTATGAACTGTTGGAGCATGTGAAGGGGATCCAAAGGGAGCCCCAGTGAAAGCCCGTTATTGGTAGGGAAGCAGAAGCCAGAGGTTTCAAACCAGACTCATGGCAATGAATAAAGGTGAATAGACTAACGGGTGAACTGTGTGACTCATTGGCCGTACTACAGCTTCTATGATGAGAGTCTTCTCTTTTTGCTTTTTTGGGTTTTTTTATTTTTATTTTTTATTTTTTTTCTTATTTGGTTTGATTTTTTTTTTTTTTGATTTTGTTTTGTTTTGGGGTTGGAGAGTTGCAAGGGCAGAGGGCAGAAACAAGAGGACAGGGAGATAAGTGGGTTAGGGATGCATGATGTTAAATCCACAGAGAATCAATAAAAGTTCAAAGGCGTTTTTAAGAAATGACACCCTGAAAATTGCAAGCAAATAGATGGAACTAGAAAAAATTATCCTGAGTGAGATGTCCTAGACCCCAAAGACAAATGCAGTGTGTCCTCACTTATATGTAGATATTAGTTGTTAAGTCAATGATCACCAAGCTACAATCCATAGGACAACAGACGGTAGGTGTAGAATACGGGACCAGAGGGGACAGATAGAACTCATTAGGAACTAGAGATAGATAGATAGATAGATAGATAGATAGATAGATAGATAGATAGATAGATGGATAGATAGATAGGGAACATAATACAGTAGAAACTTCCTAAGATTTATACATAAACGAGGGTGATCAAATTAAAATTGCTAAATACTGGGGGCAGAGGGACAGAGGACAGAACCCCAACTGGACAATTCTTGTTACATCCAAACAAAGCTTCCAGTACCAGGATTGGGTTACATATAATTGAGTTGATGGCCCAAAAAAGGGCCCCATGGAAATCCTCAAACAACCAGGATGTTGCCAAGACTATAGGTTGTTCACAAACTCTTAACCATCCAACATGGACAGTTACTATCCACAGGTGTTTCCAATACATCCCGTAAGAGGGTAGAGGAGCTGGTGTGGACTGAACTAACTTGGGATGCATGTGTAACAAGGTAATATGTACACCGAGGGAGCTTTTAGGGAGAAACCCCTACTTATCCACCTTGTGCCTGTGCATAGTGATTGAGTCTGTACGTAATGATTGAGTCTGCTGTGGTCGAGATCAGATACAGTATAGGAAGAAGCGTGCGCAGTAGCAAAGAGATTATATAACAATCTGTCAGTCAAGATAAGGGTCACCTATGTAATCAAAATCTCCCTTCTCTTAAATTCCGTGAAAGGAAGTGACAAACAGTAGTTGGGGACCTTGTGTTCCTTTACTCGTGTGGCCCACTGTCACTAGTCTAATGGCTTTCTTTCTTTCTGATCTATAATGTCACTTTGACATTTCCTACTGATGTCAGAAAGCGGGAGACTCAAGCCCAGACTCTGGCCGCCAGGAACAACTACACAGCCGTGAAGACGAGAGCCAAGCTGGGATGGCGGGAATGAATGTGAAGTGACCCGAGGAACAGGCACAGCTTGTGAGTGTGGCCTATTCAGATCCAGGGTCCATAGCCTTCAAAGATGGCCACATGCCGCCTTCTACAGACCAGATTACCACCTCGGCTTGTGGAATGGAAGGCTTTGTGACGCCGTCTGGTGGCACGGTTCTGTCCTCTGTGAGGCGGACCTGACAGAGTTCACTCCTGGGAGATGACAGGCACTCTGAATGTCCTAGGACAGGGATGGCTGGTCTCCTCACACGGATGAGGTGTGGACCATGTTGAGGTCTACCTACTTTCTGTGGGACAGTGACTATCCCTTATATGTCTATATCTACATCTTCGTTGTTATCCTGATTATCTGGCAAGTGCAACAGAATTACCGCAGATTGAAGTGGGAACAGAAGAGGAGCTGCTGCCGGGTAAGGACACCCTGTGATCACTACTGACCTAGCGGGGGAGCTTTCAAGTTTCCGTGTCTGCTCACCCTCTACATAGGCCCTCACCACCACTGTCTGACAATTTGGATAGGATACTTTCAAGTGTGTAATAGATTTCCTCTGTGAGGCTGGAAGCCTTTCCTTACTAGGACTTTCACGAGGCATAAACCAAAAACCTTGCTATTGGTTTGAATAGAGACTACCATTATCCCAGATCTCCCAGTACAGAATTTCTCAGTTAAATCTGTTACGTCTTTTATATAAGAACGCATCCTATAACGCGTCTATTTTACCACAGTTTCCAGTAGGACGTCACTCAGTAGTTGGGTAGGAAATGGAGTTCAGATCAGTTTCCATGAGAACCAGAAGGATGCCGAGAAGAGGGGTGGGGGGAGGGGGTGGGACATTGCCAAGAGTTCCAAAATTGCACATAGATAATTGAAAGGAAAAAGCAAATGTATATAGGATCCTTGTCACATTACAGACATGAAAGAGGAAACAGTTCCAGCTTCACAATGTAATATTTTCTCTTTAAGCGTCACCGAAAAGTCAGGCAGAGGGCTAGAGATGCGGCATCAAGAGGTAAAGTCCCAGCGTCCCCTACGCCCTGCCCCTAGGAGAGCTCCCCACATTCCTCATCCCTATGACGCTGCCCAGGGCCACGTGCTCTCCCTTCTGAGCCTCCAGAGCCACTAACTGCCCTAAGAATGTTGAAACTTCTCTGCCTTACTCCCCTGACAACAAGAACTGAGGAATTAAGAAGTCCTTAGCAATCACTGAGTGAGAATTCGTTTCACCTGCAGGGCTAGCGATACAATAAGCATAATATTAGTTATCCCTCTGGGGGAACATATGCTGTAAACGGCGATGCTATAGCCAAATACCCCATAGAACATTGAGTCTAGGTGCTCAGATTCTTCTTGCTGAGCTAAAGGCTGACTATTCAGATTCTTGTAAAACGCCCTAAAATGTTCACTCACCACCTAACGCTGTGTCCTGATCCCTCAGCCAGGAGACTTTGCCGAGAAGAAGCTGAGAAGCCGTGGGAGCTGCTGACTATCATGAAAAGGTGATCTCTTGACCTTTGTGGTCTCTGAGCTGTAATGATTTTTTTTTTTTTGCCTGCTCTGGGCTGGGGTGAAAAAGGGGTAACCGTTTCCATTCCCACCTACCCCCAGTCTGCTCACGAAATCTATCCGATTTCTCCTTCCTAAGGAGATTCATGTGCCCCACCCTGAGCCCTCTTTAGTACTTAGCCTCTCTGGGTTTGTAGGTTGTAGCACGAATATCCTTTAGCAAACAGCTAACATCTGCTTTTACGTGAGTACACACCATTGTGTGTCTTTCCGGGTCTGGGTTACCTCACTCAGGATGATTTTTTTTTCTAGTTCCATCCATTAGCCTGCAAATTTCATGCTCTTTTCTGGAAAAGGGAAACAGAGGAGAGAAGGAATTGTGGGAAAAGGGAGGTGAGAGGGGGTCTGGAAGGAGTGGAGGGAGGGGAACTTCTGTTGGGATGTCATCTATCAGAGAAGGAAAAAAGGGGGTGGAGATTGATGGAAGGAGAAACACGCTGAGGAGGCGAGGTCACCAGCTGAGAGGTTGTCAGGGCAGAGATGGTTCACACCTCGGGAGGGAAGACCCACCGATACCCAGCTCCCTCTGTTAGGGTCTCAGTGGTTCCGCATTTCAGAGCCGCCTTTGCACACTTTGCGAAGGGCATCGATGGAGTTGCACTGAGACACCAAGTAGATTTAGGGTAAAGAGGTCCCCCTGTCACCTGCTTCCAGCTACTCCCTTTCAAGGACAGAGCCCCGGGTCTGACCTGTCTGTCTGGGGCAAGGGAGCAGTTGCTGGGACCCCTTCAGTCCATCATCTTTGCCTCGACTTAATTTCCAGAGGCTGTGAATGACCCCAATGGTTCTCTGGGCACGGCAGCAGGGACATCCCATACTTTGAAGGGTTTCCATGAGGACCCCATTTGCCACAGTGTAGGCTCAGAACTGTGGGCCTGGGGGAAAGGGTACAGCAAGCCCCAGACACGTCCTTCCATCATTAACGGTGGCTGTTTCTCTCTTCCTAGCCAAAGCTGGCTCCCCAAGGAGGAGCGTGTGCGGCAGCTCCTGTGTATAGATCCCTGCTGCCAAATCTGTGATGCTGCAACTCTAGAGATCCGGCAGTTGCTGGAGAGCGAGCAAAGTCAGATCTCCCCTGCTTTGTTGGGACTGCCACCGGACTCTTCTTGCCTGGAGATGTTGACCATATCCAGTGAGACTTTTGAGCAGAACGTGGAGCTTCATCCCAGACCCTCCACAGACTTTCCACTGCCACCTGTGACCCAAACACTAACGGAACACTTAGCACAATCGACCAGCACAGTTGGTGTCCAACAGCTCTGTGCAGATCACCTCCTGGCCGGACAAGGATTTCATCTGGCAGACATGTCCGTGGTCTCTGAGGCTGCAGCTTCTTCAAGGCTTGGGGAACCTGTGGTTTTAGTGAATGCAGAAGAGATGACGCACAGCGATCTAAGCTATAACTACGTCCAGCAGATCCAAGACCAGCAGTCTTTCAACTCGCAGACCCCTTTTCAAACCCTGAGCCCAGATGGTATTCATGTCACACATCCGATGACCCTGTCTCTTGTCAACACTGTCCCCCCGCCATTCCTCAATCCTGAAGTGGTAAGGCTTCTTGAGCTACATGTGAAAAAATTGATGCATTTCCAAAGGTGGGGGCTTCCCAGACGTGTAGAGGAATCACTAAGGCAACTTATGCCACACCCCCCAATGTATTTCCAGCCAGAAAACAACCAACCAGTTTCTTTGATCCTGAACAATATTCCTCAATACTATGTTCACAGATTTGGGAGTCTTTCTCCCCACACCTGGTGCTCATATCCAGACAACCAACCTACTCAGATCTTTTGGGTGTCTCAGTGGTCTAATGCGGAGCTGGAACAAAAAGCACACTGCGGACAAATCACAAGCCCTGTGGAGAAGTCCTTATTCTCTCCTGACCATGACATTCTCCGTGGCATCTGGCTACTGCCCAAGGGACAGGCGAACGACTCCAGGAACAAACTCCCGAAGACATTCACCCAGTTATTCTGTGGCCTCCCCTCTATACACAGTGAGTCCTTGGTGGCTACCTTCTTAGGCACTCAACGTCTCTCCAAGGACACACCTGAGCCTTCCTGCAAAAACCCTCACCTCTTGAAAGAGGCCTCGCCCTTCCTCCTGCCACCCCACTCGCCACCGACAGCAGCCCCTCCCTCTTCAGCTTCTCCAAAAGAGTCTTTGTATGAGTGCCAAACTCAGATCAACGTGCCGTGTCTGACTCTGGCTGAGTGTAAAACCTTGGAATGGCACCTTCTACAAAGACAGCTTCAGCTACAGTGGGGCCTGCCAGCTGTCATCCCTGGATCTCCCTATGAGCAGAGCCACATACAGTATAAGCCATGTAATAAAGCAAAGCCCCATGAGACTTTAAAAGCCTCCTGGGCAAGAAAGTCCTTCTCAGTCCTCACCAGAGACCTCGTCTTTATCCCAGAGCCTGTACGCAGGCTGCTGGAATTCCACCTCCAGAAGCAACTGATTCACCTGCGCTGGGGCCTGCCCCAGAGGATCCAACGCTCCATTCACTTGGTCCTCTCCTCCCCTGGCCAGCAGCCCCGGTCCTGCAGCAATGGGACACTACCCAATGTGAGCATCCTGCAGCCAGGCGACCCAAAGGCCGATGGGTCCGGTGACACGTTTGCAGTTGCAGTGGACAGAGGGTCAGTTCCCACACCTCACTTGTTCGGCCAGGCAAAGGCAATATTGAAGACCCACGTTGATTCCAAATGTGGACAGATCCACCAGGGCAAGGTCCCTGCCTGTGTCCAAAGTTCCCGGGAATGCAGAATTCCCAGGAGCTTGTCAGTAGGGGCTTCCTTCTCAAACATTCCAGAAAGCCGGCACCTGGAGCTACAGGCAAAAAGTAACCCTGACCTACATCACACAGCTGTTTCTCAGGAAGCAGAACCAACAGCCCTGGACCAGGAGAAACAGGCCTCATCAGGCGCTCTCATTGAGCACTGTAAGCGACCCCAAACCCTACCAGAGGAAACCGTAAAGAAACTGGAGACAACGTTACGCCATAAGTATCTGGCCTTCCTGTCAGGTCTGCCTGTCCATTACTGCGTGACCCCCTCTAGATCAACATCCCCAGCAACTGTTAGCCATTCTACAGTCACAGAGATTATTCCTGGACCTGTCAAAATCCCACAGGAACCCCTAACTCAGGTGACCTTACTTGAAGACCCATATCGGAGTAGGCTTGAACCTTGTACTCAGGATGAGAACGATGCTTCTGTGCACATTGCACAGGATGACAACAAGGCTTCTGCGGACATTGCATGGGATGACAATGAGACTTCTGAGGACATTGCAGGAGAGGTCCAGCCTAAAGTGCAGGCGGCAGGAGGGACAGAGAAGGTGTCTATAGAGACGCAGACAGAGATCTTGGAGAAACTGAGTTTCCACCTGAAGAAAAAGGTCCTAGAGATAAAGTTGGGATTTCCTGTAATAGCAAATGAGCTCAAAGAGTCAAATGCAGTGGACCCAGAGCCTCTTGGGATTCTAAAGATCCCAGAAAGCACAGCACTACCACAACTGCCCAACTCAGGGGACTCTCCTCCGGCCCCAGATGCAAACAGGGTCCACCTTGGTAAACAGCCAGCCACTGCAGGGCAGGCCATGTGCCACAAGCAGAAGCAACCTAGTTCCAAGGCAGTGCCCCATGGTTCTGCCCAGTGGGGCTCCAAGGCCTCACAACTCAGGAATATGACTGAAGCCCAACTGCACTGTGTTCAGCTGGAGACCAGTGGGAAAAAACCCAACCTAGAGAAAACCTTTAGCACTAAGCCTCAAAGCCCAGGCAAGAGCAAGTACTCAGCCCATGTCCCCACACTGACAGAAAAGAGACACGAGTCAGGGAAACCCAAGGCAGTGTGGGACCTTGAAGAAGGGGATGCAGGTCTTGAGCTTCCCCTGACCAGTGGGAAGACACACCATGATGGAGAAGAGGAGCTAGAAAAGAGGCCTCCCCCTGAGACACCCCAAGGCTCCTCAGAGCAGAGGCCTAGATCTCATCTTGAGGATCCCTGTTCACCCAGCCCCCAGGATCTCTCTGAGTTTGAATTCCCAGATCCACCTCCAGAAGTCCTTATGGTGATAGACGCTACACAGAACATGCAAGACAGTCTGACCAAGGTAGATGCCATCCCGGAACCTGCAAGGAGTGCCAAAGTCCCCCAGCCTGTGGCTTCCAAGACTTCCCAGGGCTTGCCTTTCCCATGCCCACCAACTCAGGGAAAACCTTTTAGGGGTCAAGCTTGGCAAGACCACATTTCACAGAGGCGGGTGACGCCAGCCTCTCCTCACGCTAGCCCCAGCCTTCCAAGGGCTGGCTTGAAAAATAAGATGAAATCCTTCCTTCACTCTATGAGCCCCAAGATAAAAGACAAAACCCACATGGAACCCACGGTCTCTACACCCGGGAAAGTGTCCAAACCCGGTCAAGAAAATGCTGACAAGGGTCTGTCTCAAACCAAAAACCCCACCAAGAAAACTAAGACAGAGAACTGCAGAGGGCCCAAGGCCCAACCTGCGTCCTCTGAGAGGCCAGTGGTCGCATCGTTTTTAACTGCTCCCCACATTCTAGACAGTAAGCTCGGGCCATGCTCTCGACAGCACAGCTCTGTCTCAGTACCAGGCCAGCCCCGGCACTGTCCTCGGCACTGCCCTAGATTGGCTCGTACCACTCAATACAGAAACCCACCCTAGGTCCCAAGGTTTACCTTGGAAGTGTTGTTCTGCTAATGGTGACCACTCAGGCTCTTTCTCTCGGCTCCCCCTCCTCGGTATCTTTAAAGAGCAGTATTATTGTCATTTCCTTTAATGAACAGGTGGATTAAAGAACCACCCAAAATATATTCTGTACCTATAAACAGTCTGTTTCTTCTTGTCTCTGATGTTTATTATTAAGGGGAGGTATGAAGGAAGTGACGACGTCGACCCCATCCAGGAGCGGAGATTTAGCCCCAAGTTCACATGCTTGGTTTAGAGAAATACCATTAGTACACCTTTCTTCAAGGGATGCCTCTGAGTTGATCAAAAGCAGCTAGCTAAAACGAAGACACACAGAGCGTATATGACAAATAGCACCTCTGGGTCTCGGAATCTCCTTGCTCAACCCATTGGTGTCGGGGATGCCTCTAAGAACCTATCCAGAAGCCTGCGTCAGCCCCGCCTGGTTTGTGTGCTCAGTTGTGTGGCCTAGGTGCCTCCTGGAAGGGGGATCCAGGGAAGGCGCAGAAATATACAGAGGGATTTCTTGTACTTGGGACAAAGCTGCTGTGTTTCTGATGGGCACACAAGGAACAAAAGGTCAGTTTTCTTAACCCCAAAAGAAACTGAAGCAGGATGCTAGCCCAAGGCCAGCATGGGAGTTAGGGACAGGAGTGTGGCCACTGTAAGATGCTTGTGTGATAAAGGAATGAATGGGGTTTTAGAGTTTCTTGGCAAAGATCCCGGCACGAAGACATTATGTAAACATATTTGTGACCATTGAGGCCAACAGCTTGTACCGAGCTCTGCTGTCGTGTCCTGTCCGTATCACACACAGCTCTGTCGTTTTACCCCACCCTCTCTTCTGCCACCGTTACTCTTCTGATATACTTTTGTTTTATCATTTCATGTCTATGGGCGTTTTTCCTGTATATGTGATTGTGTGTTACATAGGTGTATGAGCCCACAAAGGCCAGAAAAAGGCATCAGATCCTGTGGAAAGCACAGCTAGTAGACTCTGCAGTGGTCAGGAAGTAGGATGTCCATGTGAAATTTGCCTTCTAATTGTGCTCAGACTATTCATACAATTATTAATTACAATATCATATTGCTATAAATGTTAGACATTTCCCTGGTGGGGAGCAAATGGGCAGATCACACTGCTGCAGGCCTCCACCGGGAGTCTTCTCCAGTTAGGATGCTTTCGTTTCCAAGATGGTTTCACCTATGTTAACAGATGCACAGAAGCTGAAATTACAGGAAGTTAGGAGGAGACTGTAGGTGCTGGGACTCAAACCCTGGTCCTGCTGTCATAGGAAATCTCTTTCAGGTCCCAGCCCCATGTTTAATTTAAACCAAGACAGGGGACTTAGGCAGATGTGAGAGTTGCACAGCAAGATACTGTCCTGTTCAAGGCAACACCCTGTGGCTAAATTCTACGTAACTTAATATCTCCTAGGTAAGTTTATTAGTAAGTGCTTTATAACGTCAGTGTTACTATTTCAAGTTTCTTCTACATCAATGGAAGTGATGTGAGAACAGAGGGAAGCAACTGGTCCTTCAAGAATTTATTCCACAGAGGTAGAAAAGTCATAGGAAGATGTGGAGACTCCACAGAGGGTGGGCTTGTTTGTTGTTTGTGATGCTGGGAACCAGATCCAGGTCTCACGTAGGTGTAATTAAGGAAGTGCACAAGAACATGGAATAAAAGATAACAAATGTTTATTTGGGGAATACTCACAATAAGGAAGCCCCTACTGTCTTCTGCTCTGTGGGCGCTGGGAGCTGTGAACAGAATCCAGACTACCAGCCAAGAGAGAGCAAGCACACTTTTCATCTGTACTTATAGTACCTCAGACCATGTCCTAACGGGCAGGTACCCAAAAGGCTATTGGCTGAATGAATTCCCACAACACTTCCCCCTTTTGTCTAAGTAAGAGGGTTCTAAACCTAATACAAAACTATATACAATAAGAACAAATGTCAAGCATTGTCCAGGAAAAAGAAAAGGCAAAGCCATACACACACACACACACACACACACACACACAAATACAACCAACATGAACATCTTCAAGCAAGAAACATGTGCTAAATGCTCAGGCTAAGGTAATTAGCAAATATCAGAGATTATTTCAATAGTTATCCTAGCCTGAGGAGTCTAAGTCTTATATTAAAATATAACATATATAATATATGTTATATATCATATATGTCTTAGCTAAGTTATGAGAGAAAAGCTATGACTATCTAGTCTTCAACCCCATCAAAGACCTGAGAAGGAAAATAATATTACCTGAGTAAGCAGCAAGTGCAAGCAAACAAATTCCAATAGGTGGAAGAAATGACAGAGACTTCCAGCTACCTGGGCAATCATCCAAAGTCTCATTTGCAATGTTGGGGTAACCAAGTTTGGCTAAAGCCTAGAATATCCTGCAGACCATTTTCAGAGGCAGGAAATTTCAAAAGACTGTCCTACCCTGTCTTGGTAAGGTTAGACAGTCATTTTTGCTTGTATCCTGCTTGTCCAGTTTGGGCAGCATAAATGTTGTCAATAGTCAAGGCAAGGGGTAGTTCTTTGCTCAAAGGTCAGTTTTGCCTAGAAGAAAACAAGTTCCAACTGGAGTGTCTTAGGTGCCCAACATTCATTCTCTCAGGAATAGATCAGTGCTGCCAGGAGCAATTGTGTCTCGCAACAGAATTATGAGTTATTCCAATGCCATATTCTACAGTTCTTTGAAGTGTTTGAAGATTAGCTATTTATGCAGCATACAATCTGTGCATCTAGAGAATCTGACTAGTCTAACTATAAGTATGGCAAACATGGGTGACTATTGACTTGTAATTAATACCTATATAGCTTAAAGACAGAAGCTATGACTGAATGACTTCCCACAACAGCCTCAAGTATGCTGGGCAAGGGCTGAAGGTGCTGATCTCTACCCCAGCCCCTAGGTTTTCTTAAGAGACACAGCATATTGGATACAGGCGGGAAAGCTCTGCTCAAGAACAATAAATTAACAATGCAAGACAGCAAGGGAGGAAGAACCATCAGGTCCAAGTGCTGCTTTGGAGGAGGGAGAGCAGTGCTGCTGCAGGATAGCTCTGAAATGTCTCAGAAGGACGGCACGCTGCAAGCATTGTTGCCAGGCTGAGGTGCTGTGGTGAGCGACCCTGACTGTCAATTTGGTGGCATTTAGAATTGCAATGAAAACAAATCTCTGATCTTGTCTGTAAAGGATTATTCAGGTTTGGTTAACTGAGGTAGGAAGAGCCACCCTAAATGCGGGTGGTACCATTTCGTGGCCTGGGGTCCCAGACTCAATACACTGGAGAAAGCATGCTAAGTGTGTCCATTCGTGTCTGCCTGCTTTCTGACTGCAGTTGCAGTGTGACTGGCTGCCTCAAGCTCTGGCTGCCATGACTTCTCTCCATTGATTATTCTTTGGTCCTGGGAGCCAAAATAAACCCTTCACCCTTTGGTAGTCGGCATCAATTATCTTGCCACAGCAGAGAGACAAGTAAGCACCTAGTGCGATCAGCAGGGAGGTGTGGCCGGGGAGGTCTTAGTGAAGGAGGTCGGGTCCATGGGTGCAGTCACAAGAAGGGAGTATGGGATGCTGGCTTCTTATTTCATCTCTCCGTTGTTTCCTGGCCACTTTGAGATGAGCAGTTTTTCTTGGCCATTTGCTGCTGACCATGATAAGCAGCCTCGTCACCCGAAGTAGCAAAACTGAACAGGAACTAAAGCCTCTGAAACCCTGAGTCAGAAGAAAGCCTTCCTCTTTTCTAACTGCAGCAGGTGTTTTCTTTCTCATAGTAACACAAGCTGGCAGTGATGGAGTTCGACTCAAGAAATTGGTCTTGACTGAAAGCACAGATATGTTGGTGGTGGTAAAGGAACAGTAGCATAAAAGAAGAGAGTTTGTCCCAGAAATAGGGGACTGCCAGCAAAGACACAGCAGGATGACAGCAGGGAGGGGGTTCATAGAGATCCTGGAAGAGAGCAGGTGTGAAGGCTAATCTTGGTTGCCAACTTGGTTGCAGACCCGTGGCCTGCAGGGTACCTCCCCTCTGGACCCCGGGTTAGGCACAGACCACACTCAAGCACCAATTTCCAAGCACAAACCAAACACAAAGAGATCCTTTATTAAGCAAGGCAAAGCGACAAGGTGGCTGGATCCGAATTGGGCAGAAATAGCAGCAAATCACTTTGAAAGTGTTAGTTTTAAGAAGGGAAAACGGGAAGTCTGTTAAAATGAGCGAGGGCACGTTGGTAAGTTCTAATTGGGTATTTTAATTAGGCTAATCAAAATAATGAATGTTGATTGCTGGACCTTGATGTTTTGGTATTTGGACGTTGGTGATCAGTCTTAGGAATGAGTCAGTGTCACATAAGGGAACAGACCATGATGGCTAGCTTTAGGAAGAATATAATCTATGGTTTAGCAAGGGGGGAGAAGGGTAAAAGGCAAAACCGGCCTGTGCCGTTTTTGCCACGCTCTAGCCTGTGTTTGCCATGGTCCTGCCTGCTAGAGTCTTTCATTGACTACATCTGGAATCAACTAAAACCCAAGCAGTCGGGCACATTTGTGAGGGATTTTTCTTAATTGGATCATTTGCTGTGGAAAGCCATTTAAGATCCATCTTAAATCTGGATCATGTGAGGTCAGAAGGCCCACCCTAAACCTGGGCTGTACCTTCTGTGGTAGCCCACGTAGAAGGACAAGGAAGAGGGAAGCTTTGGCTCTTTGCTTGCTGGTCTCCTTCTCACTGACAGGTTTGGGTATCCTGCTGTTGAGGCGTTCCTTCGCTGATATTGGAAGCTACTTATTTGGGATTCCAACACAGACTGAAGACCACCTGAGGCATCCGGCCTCGTGGACTGAACAACGACTGGATTCTTGGTCTTTCTGTCAGGAGGCAGCTGTTATTGAAAGAGCCAGACAGAACACACAGCCTGTAAGCTACACTAATAAATCACACACACACACACA